AAAAAAAAAAAAAAAAAAAAAAAAAAAAAAAAAAAAAAAAAAAAAAAAAAAAAAAAAAAAAAAAAACTCCAAAAATAAGATAATATAATATAATTTCATAATTCATAAAAAAAATATTTATGGTTAATAATTACCAAATTTAAAAGGGAAACACCTATAAAATAAACATGAATTTTTATATTATTCCCAAAATTAGAAAATAGATAATAAAATTCCGTTACTAACGGCGTTAAGTTGAGTTTTGAGGAGTCGCGGCGAGTGATGGTTCTGTATCCGATGTTGACGTCTGAATCTACACTTTTTTCCCTTTTAATTTCATTTTTTTTTCCGGTGGGGCCCACAGAACAATATAATAAAAAATTAAAAAAAGAATAATAATACTTCTACTCCTAATAATAATAGTTTTTTAAATATAGGAATTTTTGTTCAAAGGGTTTCACTTAATATTTATTTGTAAAATAATTTACAAATAATAATAATAGGTAAGTAATTTAAAGAAACTCAAAATCAAAATAAAGGAAGGAATGAAACTTAAAATTTTAAAAATAATTTTATTTATTTTCATTTATAATTGATACACAAAATAAAAAGATGTAACGTTTATTAATATATTTATAGCAAAATTAGAACAGATATATTAGGTAAAATATTGAATTTTTAATTAAAATATGTGTACAAGACAAAATATTCTAAAATTATTTATTAAATATGAGTGATATTTTCTAAATATAGAAGTAATTAGTTTTCTCATTTAAAAAAAATAATTGAGTTTTTTTTTTTTCATATTTATTGTGCCAAAAAAACAAAAAGCCGCGTTGGGAAGGCTTTAGGACGGACGAGGCGCGTGTTAAGCACGAAGACAGAGGAAAAGTATGATTGGGTTTTGGTAAATGACGTGGCAAGAGTGGAAGTTGACTCTTCATTATTTTCCATGGAGTTGCACATGTGTAACCTGCCTCGATTTACATGTTTCCTCACGCGACCTGTCACTCGGTGCACACCACTTCCTTTTAAATATATATATTTGGTTTAATTAATTAAAATATTTCTCTCTTTTTTCTATATGATTTTTTAAAATATATATTCATTTCCATCCAAATAAACATACATATCAATGACTTATTATCTGACCCGAACATTTTGGGTATGCTTTGTTGGAACAACAACAATAGCTACACGAAGAATGGTAAAATTCGCTGGTATGGTTGTTCAAAAAGTCCCTCTAATGATAACTCCCATACAATTCTCGTGAAAGCTGGAGAAAATAGAATTCCTCGTAAGATTGAGCGTACACACGTCTAGGTTTAGCCAATTTTTAAGTCCTTCAAAAAAAAATTAAAATTATAAGAAAAAAAAAAGAAAACAGATTTTAGAATAAAAATAAAATAAAGCGCGTGAAGAACACGAAGGGGAAGTGAAGGTGGACGAAAATGAAAGAGTAATGTAGAAAGGAAACAGCATTGCATTGGTGGACCCCGCAGTTGCCATCAAAGTTCCCATTAATTTGAAAGCCCTTTAACACAACCCTTATTATTTTCTTTCCATTTATTATTTATTATTTTTAAAACACCTTCCATAAATTTATACTCTTATATAGTTTTATTTATAAATATATATATTTTTTTCAATTTTGGAAATAAAAAGTATAAAAAAAAAAGGAAAAAGAAAAAAAAGAGAACTGGCTTCTATTATTATGGCCTCTGTTGTTCCTTAGCTCCTACTGTATTTCCTTTTCCTATCATGTTCTCTCTGAAAAAGAAGAGGAAGAAAAAAAAAAGGAAAAAAAAATCTCAATATTCTGAATACCATTTCCATTTGCATGGTTGAGTTGTGATTTTTCTGTTTTCTCTGCTTGGATTCTTTGTTTTTGTTCTGTTTAGATGAAGATGAAGATGAAGATGAAGATGAAGAGGGAGCTTGAGGATGATAGATCTACTGGTGGTGGTGTTTACGGTGGCGGAAGGCAGGGGGTTGGGAAAGGGGAGTGTTCTTCAGTGTCGGGGGGGAAAGTGAAGATGTGGGAGGAGGAGGAGCAAGAGGTCGGCGGCGGAGGAATGGATGAGTTGCTTGCTGTTTTGGGCTATAAGGTTAGAGCGTCGGACATGGCGGATGTGGCGCAGAAGATGGAGCAACTGGAGATGGTGATGGGATCTGTTAAGGAAGATGGGATTTCTCATCTGGCTTCTGATACTGTTCATTATAATCCTTCTGATCTCTCTGCCTGGATTCAAAATATGCTCTCTGAATTCAATAATACCCCCAACCATTTCAACTCTTCTTCTACTTCTACTACTCCTCCTCCTCAATCTTCTCAATATTCCAATCCTCACTCACGGATTCAATCCAGGCCTTCGCGGTTGTACGACGACGATTCTGAGTACGATCTCAGCGCCATTCCTGGCGTAGCGGTTTTTCCTTCCAAAGATTCCTCAACAGAAATCGAAACTAATTCTCGCAAGCGAGTGAAAATTGAAGGAGAGAGTTCGGTGAATTTGTTGCCGCCATCGCCACCGTTTGTTGCGGCTGCGGCAGCGGCCGGGATTGTCTCTGAACCTTCTCGGCCGGTGGTGGTTGTGGAGGAGGGTTCGCAAGACGCAGGGATTCAACTCGTTCACACTCTAATGGCCTGCGCCGAGGCCGTGCAGCAAGAAAACATGAAGATCGCTGAGGCATTGGTGAAGCACATCGGATTACTAGCGGTATCGCAAGCCGGAGCGATGAGGAAAGTCGCGACGTATTTTGCCGAAGCCCTAGCTCGTCGGATTTACAGAATCTACTCTCCTCAAGACGGATTTTACTCTTCATACTCCGATATCCTCCAGATGCACTTTTACGAGACCTGTCCGTATCTGAAATTCGCGCATTTCACTGCGAATCAAGCGATTCTCGAAGCATTCGCGACGGCATCGAGAGTTCATGTCATCGATTTCAGTCTCAATCAAGGTATGCAATGGCCGGCGCTGATGCAAGCGCTCGCATTACGGCCAGGAGGTCCGCCGACGTTTCGATTGACTGGAATCGGCCCGCCGAAGCAAGGTAATACGACCGATTCGTTGCAGCAAGTCGGTTGGAAGTTAGCGCAGATGGCGGGGGCCATTGGTGTGGAGTTTGAGTTCAATCAAATCGTGTGTAGTAACCTAGCTAATCTCAATCCGGCGGCACTGGAGATTCGGCCGGCGGCGGTGGAGGCAGTGGCGGTGAATTCGGTGTTCGATCTCCATCGGTTACTGGCTCGGCCTGGAGCGATCGAGAAGGTTTTGGGATCGATAAAAGCAACGAAGCCGAAGATCGTGACGATTGTAGAACAAGAAGCAAACCACAACGGGAGGGTTTTCATGGACCGGTTCACCGAGGCGTTACATTATTACTCAAACATGTTTGACTCGCTCGAGGTTTCCTCGACCGGGTTTGAACCGGCTAGTGAGGACGTATTGTTGTCTGAAGTTTATTTAGGAAGGCAGATTTGTAATGTGGTGGCTTGTGAAGGACCAGACCGAGTCGAACGGCACGAGTCGTTAACTCATTGGCGAACTCGGATGGAATCAGCTGGGTTCAACCCGGTTCATCTCGGTTCGAACGCGTTTAAGCAAGCTAGCATGCTTTTGGCCCTCTTTGCTGGAGGAGAGGGGTACAGAGTGGAAGAGAATAATGGGTGTTTGATGCTTGGCTGGCACACTCGACCCTTGATCGCCACGTCAGCTTGGCAGCTCGACGCCGATGAGTCGACCCAGTGAGTTTGTGGCCGTGGCTCGTTCTCGGGTTTTTTTTTTTTTTTTTTTTTTTTTTTTT